GCCTTCTTCGGCTGGGCGCCCCGCTCCGCGCTCCGCGGACAGGCTGGGGGAAGAGACTGGAGGGGTCTGGGTGGGCGTGCCAGATAGATGCCTAACCTGTCGCACATGTTTTTTGTTTTGTTGTTTCTTGCCCAACCCTCTCCCCCGATTCTCCCATCCCCTGCTGCAGCCCTACCGCGGCGCCTCTGGCTTCGGAACGGAGCCGGCGCCCCCCGTGGCGGTCTGGAAAGGACATTCTTTCAACACCATCTCTGGCCGAGAAGCGGAGAAGTTCAGCGGCAAAGACAGCGGCAAAGGGGACAGTGATTTCAATGACAGTGATTCCGACATCAGTGGGGACGCTCTGAAAAAAGACCTCATCAACCATATGCAGAGTGGTGAGGACGCCTCTCTCCTTCCAAGTTCAGCATTCTTCCTCTCCCTCCCCCGCTGCCACCTCTCAATCTCTGTTGCCCACGCCACTCCCTCTTCCCCACTTTTCTCAGTCCTGGAGTTCCAGACTCCGACAGGCCCGATACAATGAACTTTAAAAAGCAAAGTTGAGGCAGCTTCACCATTTGAATTAAGCACAGCCCCGCCCTGGTAGGCAGAGGCAGGGGTGATGCTAGCGAGCCAACCGGCTTTTTTGGGGGGAAGGGGGCTTTTGCTTCCAGCAAAAGAAGCTGAGCCAACTTGGAGTTAGGTGGCTTTGCAGCAATGTTCCTTCCAAATTTTCAGTCACTGGCATTCATCTTCATACAGGTTTTCCTTTTCAGCCACCTTAACCCTGTCTGACACACTGAAGATGGAGGCATACCAATCTCAGTAATAATCATGTTCTCTCCCTCTCTCTTTTACATTAGGACTGTGGGCGTGCACGGCTGAGTGCAAGATCCTGGGCCACTCTGACCGCTGCTGGAGCCCGTCATGTGGAGGGCCCAACACCCAGCCCTCCACACACCCACCAGCCCAGATGTCAACCTTCTGTAAGAGCACGTCGCTGCCTCGGGATCCCCTGCGCAGAGACAATTACTACCAGGCCCAGCTGCCCAAGACAGTGGGGCTGCAGAGCGTCTATGAGAAAGTGCTGCACAGAGACTATGACAGGACAGTCACTCTGCTCTCCCCTCCTCGTCCAGCGAGGCTCCCAGACTTGCAGGAGATTGGGGTACCCCTCTATCAGTCCCCACCTGGCAGGTACCTGTCTCCAAAAAAGGAAGCCAATGAAAATGTGTAACCCCATGCTGCATGTCTTCACACATATACAGGTCACTCTGAGAAGCCCCTAAGTTATTGACCGGTTTCAGTGTTGTATATATAAATATGCAAGATGTGCCTTAAAATGAAGTTGTTGGGAGCTATTTCCAATCACAGTAGTACTGTTTGGTATTTGCAAACAACAAAAAAATGTAGTTAATGTAATTTTTATGAAATGTGTGCTGTATTTAATTTTTCTTATCATGCTATTGACTTTAATTTCACTTGCAGCTTGACATTTTCTTAGTGTTTTTAACCTGTACATTGTGTAATGTAATGTTTGTATATAATGAAATTTTGTTATATTTTTATATAATAAAAGCTAAAGTGGAAGTTATTGCCAAAGGAAATGTCTGTAAGACAAAAAACAAAACATGTTGGAATTCCTTAATGGAAATTTATCTTTTACCTAAAACAATCTAGTGTTTGAGAAGTTTTGCCTTGCCAAGTATAACTTGTATATCTTGAGTCTGTGGTAGATTTCAAGTTCAATGTTATTTAATTACATTTGGTTTTCTGTAAACCGTGTCACTTATAAGCACAGTAATAAAGGATTTGTCATGTCTTTGAAGAATCTGCTAATTGCTTTTCGTGAAGATGCCAATAGTCAGATACTCACAAATGATTTGAGTGCCAAAATTAAATCTCAAGAAAAAAAATTAAAAAAAAAACAAAAATAAAAAAAAACTTTAAACCTCGGATGGGCTGATTATTTGGTCATTGTTAGTGTTCACAGCAATATTAAACCTGTGGGATTCAAGTATTGGAAAGCCTCATCAAAGTATTAAAAATATTTGTTGATTTTGTAAAGCATGTGCATCTCCATAAACATTAGGAACTCTAAAAAATCCCTGCCCTGACTTATTTACTCAACAAATATTTATAGCACATCTGCCATAAAGTCAAAGAAAACTGTTTGGACTGTTCATTCACTAATTAAGCAAACATTGGTAGAGCTTTTACTAACCATAGTAACTGCTAGGAGCTGGTGTTCAAGATTAGGAAGATATAGTTCCAAGGAGCTCTTGGCATATTATGGATGTTAATATAAAAACGACACTCAAATTTATGGTGAAATGACATGATGCTTAGAATTTGCTTTAAAATTTGCCAAATGAAATAAGATTGATAAAATATTGATCGCTGTCAATGCTAGCATGGGTACATGTGTGTGGGGGTGGGAATAATCATATCAATCTATTTGCGTGTTTGTGTTTGAAAGAGTACATAATGGAAAGTTTTTGAGATCTATGCCTTATGCCCTATGCATTCATTTCACTTGAGATTAAAATGTAATAATGAGAGCTAACATTTACTGAACAAACTTTCCTATGAGTGAAGCTCCTTACAAAGCACTCTGCATGAAATATCTCATTTAATCCTCAGTCTCTCCCCATGAGACGGGAACTAGCATGCTCTCCATTTCATAGATTAAAAACAAACAAACAAGACAAGACAGACACAGTGAGGATAGGTAAAATGCCAAAGTCACACAGGTAATAAGGGGCCAGAATTAAATTCAAACCCAATTATTCAAGGCAAGAAAATAAAATGAAGCAACTAAAGTTTTTTGTTTTGGTCCTGGCCAGTGTGGCTCAGTTGGTTGGGCATTGTCCCATGCACCAAAAGATTGCCTCTTTGATTTCTGGTTAGGGCACATGCCTGGGTTGTGGGCTAGATCCCCGGTAGGAGGCGTGCAGGAGGCAGCTGATCGTGTTTCTCTCTCCCCCGTCCCCTCCTCTCTCCCTCTAATAAACCAATAAAAAATAATTAAAAGTTTGTTTTGTTTTTAACTTGAAAGAAAATCTTAGGTGGAAAAGTCCCAATGCATTGCCTTTACAGCCTGATTATTGTTTAGCCCTTTATATTTATGAAGTGCCTGTGTTCCTTTATTGCTAATTATAGAGTGTGAGGCACTGTAATGAACAGAGGAGCCCTCAAAGCTGCCTGTTGAAGTCATAATTTAAACCAGTGGTGGCTCCAAGCTGAACAGCAGGGTGGGCACACACAAGTGCTTCGCCACCCAAGGCCTATGAAAAGTTTGATGGTTTCTACAGGCAACTGAGCTGACCTGTGCCTGATAAGCTCAGATGCCAAGACCTCAGCTTCCAAAAGAAAACATTGGCTGTGGCCATGTTATCCGACAATTCTAGAACCATGATGACCAGCTGGTGTGGCTCAGTGGTTGAGCATTGACCTAACATCTAAAGCTTTATTCTTGGGCCATCCCATCAATTGCAGAGCAGAATAATGAATAATCCCACACTGTAGTCTAAAAGTGTCCAATCTCTGAAGGTGTGTGCCTGCTTTAGTCCTTCAAAAGTAAAATAATGTCATTGTCATTATTTCACTTTGTACTGTGTATGCTATTTCATTATTCCAAAAATTAGATTTGGAAAACCTCTATGACTTCATTGTCATATTTTTCCCTTAGAGAAATGGCCATTAAAAGACCTTATTTTTGCTTGGGACTTAAAAAATATCAAACACACTATTCAGTCTTTAAAATGTATTTTTAAAAAACATAATAATAAAAGAGGGGGTGCGTGAGGCTCTTCTCTTCTAGCGGTCAT